TATGTGGTTTTAAATGATAGGTTAAATGAAATGTGAAATTAAATGACTTATTTAATTTCACCTATCATTTAATGCTACATTGACGCCACGTAGACTGTGTTTTCATCCCCAGTGGGGATGAATAACATTACTCTTTGAATATTCATTACGTTATGATGGGGCTTTTCTTCAGAAAAAGTCTCCCATGAGCTTATACTCTCTTTCTATGCCAAAAACCCAAAAGTTTCAGACTTTGGAATCTAAATTTTTTTTAGTTATTTTTTTTTTTTTTTGGGTGGGGGTGATCGTTTGGGTAAACTTTTTTTAATTTTTGACGTGTGTATTTAAGCTTATATGCTCGGCTTTTATGCCCCGAACACTTATTTAGGATAATATCTTTTACCTCCACGTAGTTTCATTTATATTTTTCAACCTCGCAAAAAATTGCAGTCAATTACATATCATTTTGTCAATCATGTTATCTATGATAGTTAGGGAAAAACAAGAAGGAATTTGAATGTTTCGAGTCTTGATATTGAATATTCCATTGCTTTTTCTTAAATAAGTCATTAATTTCTAATAATGCGCGGGGAAATAATTTTTTTCATCGATGACACATGACTCGATCAATTTGATATATACGAGCAGAGATATGTTTTTGTAAAAAAGGAAAGTACCCATAATAGAATAAATATTTGTTTGTATTATTTTTATTATCCTATTAGTTTACTATTCTTACGCTTTATATTTAAAAGCGATAACATTATAAAAATATGCTTGTTGATTAGAAATTTAGTTTCTGTTTTCAACTCGACATGACTTAGGTCTAGTTATATTACATTACATGTTGTTTCGCCTACTTCGGTAATATCGCTTATCTAGGTCTAGTTCTATGAAAGTTAAAGACCAAACCTTGGGGTTGATAAATGTCAAAAGTGATGAACCTGCACCGGAAACAAATCTCAGAACATTACCTGTATTGTTTTCGCATTGATTGTATAATCAATAACCTGTGAACGTAGATGGAAAATTCAACAAACAAACTTGTACTAGAATGGATTGATAGTTTGATCTCTCCAACAAATTCAGGTTCTCTACTTGGAGATTATTAAGTATTGACAGCTACTTCAACCAATTTTTGAGGCAGTTCAACATTGTGAACAAGAAAAATTGAATTTACAAGTAATTTATTCAATTCAACACAATTATATTTACAAAAAAAAAAAAAAAGTATTCATATTGTTTAAATATGACTTCCGTGGCATTAAAAAATTCAAATTAATGATGATAAAATTTGCAAACATAGATTTCAATTCAGAGACGATTATCTAGAAACATCTTAAAAAAATCAATCTTGTAAAGAGGAGTAGCTCAAATATTTTTGATATAAGATTTACCTCTTAATTTGTATCCGGAAATGTTTAATATCTATATGTCCCCAAGATGGTTGCTTGTTTTTTAGCATACTAAGTTTGAAAATTCTTTTTCAGATCAAATTGTTCATTGGAACATAATAATCTTCATTAACATACTAAAGATTTCGATGTCCATCAAAGAATGTCAACATTATTAAAAGGAACAATCATGCTACTTGTACAATCTTTCTTTAAAATTTTGGTTGGCAACTTTGGTTGACAACTCACACTTGACAACATTGTATTTATCCATTTTAAAAACTATTTTTTAGATCAATGGTCTAGATTTTGACATCATCAATATTGTTAACCACAATTGTCAACAACAATTATACAAATAACTTAATTCTAAAATGAATCATCTAAATCCTTATATATTATTTAATATTCTATTTTTATTCGATATTAAATTTTATACCTTTAACAACTTTATC